ATGAAACCTTCTCGCTAGTTGCTCGAATTGATGCCATTCAAATCATCCTTTCCTATGTTGCACTTAAGGCCTTCAAAGTATATCAGATGGACGTCAAAAGAACCTTCCTGAATGGAGAGCTTAAAGAAGAAGTTGACCTTCAACAACCATCTGGGTTTATCAATCTTGCTTACCGTAGTTATTGTTATAAGTTTAAAAAAGTTGTGTATGGTTTAAAACAGGCACCTCGAGCCTGGTATGGTACTCTAACGTTTTTTCTCAAGCGTTCATGCTTTCAGTGTGGAATCCTAGATCAAACTTTGTTTAGAAGATTAAAAAAGAAGCATATTATGTTGGTTTAAATATACATGGATGACATTATCTTTGGGTCGACCAATCCAACAATAGTTCAAGGCTTTACGAAGTTGATGGTGAGCAAATTCCAGATGAGTATGAATCGAGAGTGAAGCTTTTTCCTTCTATTAAAAGTAAAACAAACCAACAGAGACATATTCATTCATCAAGAAAAATATGTTTTCAAGCTTTTGAAGAAATACCCTATGGATACATGTGCCTCTACCAAGATTCCTGTGGGTTTCAGACACAAAATGTTTGTCCATCCATCTGGGGAACATGTTGATTAGAAAAAGTATTAAGGCATGATAGGATCCCTCCTGTACCTTATGGCTAGTTGACCATACATACTGTTTTCTACATACCTGTGTGCTCGGTTCCAAGATGATCCAAAGATGTCACACCTACTTGTTGTAAAGAATTTTTTTTGATATCTCAAAGGAACCAAGAGCCTCAGAATTTGGTACCCATTGGAAAATGGTTTTTATCTGCAAGATTATTTCGATTCAAACTATGTTGATCTCCAAATTGGCCGAAATAGTACTTCTCGAGGATGACAGTTTCTCAGAGGGAGATTGGTTTGATGGTCTTCAAAGAAGCATAACTGTATTTCCTTGTCCATAGCTGAAGGAGAATACATTTCTACTGCAACATGTACATCTCAAGGATTGTGGATGAAATCACAACTGTTAGATTATGGTTATTTGTTCAAGCAAATTCTGATATATTATGACTCAACAAGTGCCATTACGATTTTTGACAATCCAATTCAACACTCCATGATGAAGCATATCGATATCCGGTACCATTTCATCAAATACCATGTACTTACTGGAAACGTCGAGCTCATTTTTGTTCCATATAACGATGAGATCACTGATGTCTTTACTAAGGCATTAGACGAAACCAAATTCAATGGTTTCTTGAACAAAATGTGAATGATGCCTCTTGATCCTCAACTTTTCAAGGAAGTTTGTACTTTCTGATGCTTGCATCAGAAATTCAAATAAATCCGAGCTCTAAAATATTTTCCTAGTAGAAATATTTCATCTCGGAAAATAAGGATCATTTATGTGGCTTGTCTATATAACCTTTTCTCTAGTTTAAGTCTTTAGGAGTAACTTGTTTGCAGTAAATCATTTTCCAAAATTGATGATCATGAAAATCATATTCCGAGATGTCATTTTTCGAGCTCAATTCTTATTAAATCAACCTAGGAACTCAAATCTGAGATGGTAAATATCATTTCGCTTCCCTATCATTCCGATATCTGATCCTTAAGACTTCAGAAGCTCTCATGTCTCTTTGATTATCACTTTCAGAACTCTAATATCTCTGCCATTTTACCTCTGATATCTATTCAAGAAATTTTGTCATTTCTTTGATCAATATCAAGAATTAGAAGATGTTTTACTTCTCCGAAGTATCTTATGTCATCCTAAAATATTTTTTTGAAATCTTTGAATCCAACATTAGCTCTTCAAATAAAATAATAAATTTTGATTTTAAGATTATCATTTAATACAATTATTGAAACTTCCAAAACTTTTATGCAATGGTTATATGACTATATTTTAATCCTCATAAAAATCCTTTTTTGCAGATAAAATAATGTATGACAATGTCTTTTCTGCACTGAATCGATAGTTAATCTTTTTGAAAAAACAAACGACACATCACGACGTGTTAACTCTTTGTCAGGATTGGTATTTGAGTACCCCGCATTCAATGCAACCTATTTCTGGTCGGGTGTCATTATTGCACTCTCCGAATCGACATGAAACAAACCCTCACTATAAAAGGATTTTGAATCCAACCGTTCCCTTTCTACGCTCTCAATACTTTATTCAAGCGCTAGAACTCTCTTTATGTACTCTGTATTTCTCCAAACTTCAAACCTTCATCGATGTCACCCAAGTCTGCAAAAATCTCCATCGAAGAAGTAGTCCTCCAAGGGCTCCGCTGAATCTTATTCCACTGAGCCGATTCTTACAGACACCACTCAACTCTTCTCATTTAACCCCATGTATTACAATAAATTTTTTCACGTAATGATAGAGTTCATCTCCTTCCATCCCATAGTAGTTGCTCTTACCAAAGAGCCTAACCCATAATTTCCCTATCATCTTCTGCTTAAAGCCTTTTATAGAATTTGTTTTGAAGATGATGTTCTTGAAGTTTATCTCACATATGATAGGATATTTCCCACCACGAAGAAAAGCTTTCTCAGGGCAGTTGAAATTTCCTCAAATCATGAAGGATTTAAAGTCGTTGAACCCACCGCTACTAAATTTCAACATTTCTTGACTCAAATCAGGTTCAAAGGGGAAACAATTCCAAGGACTTTAGAAAATCATTTGGTTCTAGGATCTGGACCATTTTGATTCACATAATCATGGAAGGTCTCAGTGGAAAACATGGAGGTTCATACTCCATGAGCAATGACTGGTTGTACCTGGTCTTCATCATCTTCACTAGGAAACCCAATTTCATAAATCTCCCTAAAGTTTTATGGAATGACTATCAGAAGTTCAATGAACGTCAGAAAGCGAACGAGATTCCGTGTCCGAGGATCTGCGCTCGACTCTTCAACATATATACACGGAAATGAGAGAAGCAGTTCCCCTGCTAATGGATCCTCCTGAGCTATATTGCTTTGTTATAGTGGTTAAATCACATAGACTTCTGAATCAGGCCTCTTTTGGACCCATCCGAAGTTTGCCTCAACATAGATTGGATGCTCTTCCTTCTAATTCTCTGTTTAAGTCACAAAATCTCAAGGTTTCAAAATTAGTTGACCCACTAATTTGTGCCCCAAGCTCGGATGTTCTTCCCTCAGAAGAAAAGCAGTTGAAATCTTCAGGTGGTAAGATGAAGATGAATGACAAGAAGGGACATCATTCCCCTTCAAAAGTTAAATCCAAAAAGAGATCCAAAACTGGTGGTTCCTCTCGAAAGGAGCGACACATCAGTTTTCAACCTAACTCTGGGTTATAGCCTACCCTTCCCACCCATTCTTCTGAAGTACCCTCCGACGTCTCAAAATCACTAGCACACACTTACCAGGAGTCAACACATTATCTACCCCCACCCTTCGAACAGGGTGGTTTCGGTATTGTACATAGTTCCATAAAACCCCTGGAACACAAACACACACACACAAGTCATTCTCAAACCATTTCCTTCTTCACAAGCATGATTTTCGGCCCCTGCCGGAAATCGCCCACAATCTGAAATGGCGACAGTCCATCCTACTTCGTTTGCCACAACCAAACCGATATCCGCCACAGCTAAAGCATCGCGCCGCTGGGGAATTTCCACGATATTACAAGTTCTCAAGATATGATGTTGAGTCAATTATTGATGAAGCTAGTCACAAGTTCTCCTTCCGAAATTCAGCTCATACCTCCGCTGATGTTCTCAAATTCCTGTATGATCCATTGGATGGTGCTACACAACAGTCGAGTGTAGATGTTCCCAATTCTAGTCCAATTTCGGATGATCCTCGTTGGACAATAGAAGCTAAAGGTGATGTTCTCGATTAAAAGATTATTTAAGATGATCTGCCTCATGTTGTAGACAAGGCTCAAGGAGATGTTCTTGGACCAACCAAGGTTTCATAGTATCCTTCAACCGAAGTTAATCTTGATGAAGAAGATGGTGCCAACATGGAGATAATGTTTGGAGATATTGATGCAGCGATCTCCAATGTTTCAAAACCACCTAACATGTTCAAATTCAACCAGCCTTCCTCTTTAAAACCTCGTGCTACATTTGAATTACAATATTCATTAGATGAGATGGATATTGGTGGTGATATTACTGGAGTAAGAGCAAAGAACGTTGAAAATGACGGTGGTGATGGTGATGATCGTAATGATACTGGTTCCATTAATGGATCTAGTTCGGACACTAGATCCTCAGAAGAGAGTTTAGACAGCCCATTTACTCTTTTAGAAATGAGAGACAAAGTTGCAAAGGTCGATGTTGAAGTTGATTCAGTTAATGTTCAGGACGGATCGCTTGACACCAAAATGGATTTCGTTCTCAAATCCATTTCTGAGTTCAAGTCCATCACTTCCTCCATCTTCGACCGAGAAAAACTACTTGATGACCTCATCTCTCTCCGATTGAAGCATTCCATGGAAGTTTCCAAGAATCGATATTCCGAGATCATCAAACATCATGAGGAAGTTTTTCAAAAGATGTTGACCTTTCACAATGAACTCGTTAAAGCTATCAATGAACTCATCAAGAAAAGTCATGTTCGACACGAGAAAAAACATGCACGGCTAGAACAAGAGATAAAAGGAAAAGATAACATGCACCTCATCATGCAACAAGTCTTGATCAAGGCAATTCGGTCTGCACAACACTTTGTACACATTCTAAATTAAAATTTCAATGAGGTTACCGCTATTTTTGAAGAAGTACTTGACATCCTGAAGGCTAAAGCTCCAATAGCTAACGTGTATGAAAATCTCACCAAGATTGGCGATGTCAGCTTTCAAAAAGTGTTTGAAAATTTTGGTAATTTTAATGAGAAGATGCATCTTGCAACGAAGGTTGGGCCTTCTGTCTCAAGAGGGGGAGAAGATGTTAGTAAATGGAAGTGGAGATCGTAATTCAAACTCCAAGATGAAATAGATGGTGATGAATATGATGATATGCTGCTTGTGTCAACTGATAAGCAACATCAACTACGAGGCCCAAGCAGTCAAGAACAACTTTCTGTCGGAAAGATCATTTCCGATGAAGAAAAAGCCAAACAGTATACATGCATATCCGCTCTTCCTAATTCCTTGAAGCAAATCATAGAGGTTGCCAAAGTTAAAACACAACTCAAATTTGATGCCTTCCGAGCTACTCAGCCAAAAACGCTTCCGATTCCTACTCCTCGGATTGAGAAAATCGATGAAGGATCACCAATGCAAACTTACGATCGATAGCCTGCTCCAGAATTGATCGTACCGACTTTCGACATTATCGTGAATCCTGCTGCTCACCAAATTATTGAAACATCTACTCCAGGAGCTCCGATCAAGGAAAGAGGCAGATGAAAAGTGATGGAACCAATCAGAGCTGCTACAACAGACTGAGGACTAGTCTTAGGAACAAATAGACCGAGCATATAAGGACAATATTCTTCTTCAATCAATCAAGGATAATCTGAATCATCTCAAAATAATATCTCCATTTTATCCTGATATACATCTCTACAACTTCCAATATGTTCCTTTTGTGAGCTACACAATTCCAACCTCAAATTTTGAACAATTCGAAATTCCTTTATCACCACATGGAAGATTTTATAAGAAGTTCCCCAGCCGTCATCCAACCGATGACATGGCTATTCAAATCCGAACATAAAGAGTTTGTCTTAAGATGTTATATGCCTCTATTGCTCTGCCCATCAAATAGGCGTGGTCGAAGAGGATAATTACAAAGATTGAAGGTTGTGGATTCAAGATTTTGAACAAATTCGGGGTCAGGTGCAAACTCCATTACTACTACATATATCGGAACATACAAAAGCAAATGAAGATCTTGGACAAAGGTTTTCTGAAGATCAATCCAAATGATGTTCTAGTTCGTGCAAGTTATTTTCAGTAGAAGCGCGATTCTGATCTCACTATAGGAGCATATCAAACGGCCTAATCTTTATAGGAGATTATGTTGCTGATTTTGCTCATACCGACGTGGAGCTAGCCTCTCTATTCAAAACATAAAACTTTCTTCCTTCTCACAATAATAAATTATAAGGGATTGAACTTCTCGATGTTGGGCCTATTATAAATTTCGAGCTTGGTTATATTTACAAGAAGAAAGACTCAGACAAGAAGGAGTTGTTTTATGTAAGGAAAAAGCAATTGGTTCACACTTATTATTAGGGCCGGGATCTCGAAATTACATTCAGGGTCCTCAAACCACAGGATCCTCAAAAATACTTTAGGATCCTGACTATTATATTTTATTCTCCTAACGTTTATTACGGTTATGTGCTTTGCTATTTTTCTCACATGTTCATAAATAGTCAGCCAAAGACTTATTCTCAATAAATAGTCATCATGACCATGCTTAAGACCCGGGAGACCAAGTCAAATAATGTCTATATGTTGATCTTAGAGGATTCCAGAATTGTCAGAGTTCTTGTTATTAGCTTTAGGATGTAAAAACACTTGTCTTCATCATGCTACGCACGACACTGAGTAGAACTACAATACTTGTACTTACTTTTCATACATACATCTCTGTAAACATCATTTTCAATCAATAAAACGATCAAGGCAGGTGATTATTGTCATCTCCAAAGGTTTTGTTCCGGAGATCCTAAAAAGGATCAAGGGATTTTCTTGTAAATCACTCATGTTACTTTGATCATCAATTCGTATTCATTCTACCCTGAACATCACAGCCTCTCGTACAATTTGGTTGATTAATGATTGTTCATTTTTTGACCAAAACAATTTGGCGCCAACTGTGGGGCCATGGTGTTCAAAATCCTTCGAAAAATCATGTCTACACAATCGACCATGTCCACTTCGTCAATTCCTCCCATTTCCTCCGAAAACCTTCCACCACCTCTGGATGGAGCTCCCAAGAAAACCTCAGAAGCACCAAAGAAAAACACCTCTCCGGTCGTTACCCCAAGACTCCGGGATCCTCCGGTGCTGATTTCCAACAATGAAATCTTCGCTATGATGAAGAAACTGGAACGACAAGTCGCCCAACAACAAGAGGATAACATTACAATTCTCAAGGTAGTGGAGAGAATGAGGACAAAAATCCACAAGCCTCAGGAAGCAGCACCCTAGATCTTGCAGCCCATGATCCTGAACTTTGACAAAACGGGATCCTTAGTGATTCGCCGCAAAATAGGATCCTCAACACCGGCCTCTGTTCTCGCCTGGGGCGCGATCCCAAGAGAACAAACCCATACGACCCAGGATCCCAACGAAACCTTTGTTACTCCCAATAACAAGGATCCTGGTAACCTCGTTAATAATATAATATATACAACTTATAGGTTTTAGCCCGATCATGGCTAAGGAGCTCCAACAACGAAGACAAATGATCTCAAGCGTGCCCAGAGTAGTTCATCCTGTACCAGAAGTATCCCCCACAAGCCACATTATCTACAGATTCGTTTCAATGATAGCTGATATCAAAGTCCCAAAGCGCTTTTAGACCGTCAGCATGAAGCGTTATGACGAGACTATATATCCTGAGGAGCATGTGGCACAATACAGGGAAATGATGGAGATGATTCCCATCCCCACTCACTTGAAAGAAGCTTAGTGGTGCAAGGGTTTTGGTTCAACCCTCACAGGATCAACTTTAAAATGGCTTCTTAATGTTCCTCCTTATTCTATTACATCGTTTACTCATTTGATTAATTTATTTAGCAATCAATTTTCTTATAGCAGAACATTGGAAAAGATCACTACTGATCTCTATCGAGTGGTAAAGGATCCTAAGGAATCCCTTAGGACTTTTGTGAACAGGTTTGGCAGGGAAGCTCTAAGTATCGTCAACATCGACATGGCAACTTCAGTCGAAGCCTTTAAAATGGGCTTAAAGAAAGATTCTCCTTTCTATGAAGACCTCTTAATGACTCAATGCAAGAGCATGGACGAAGTCAGAAGCGGAGCACTATGGTTCATCGGACTCGAAGAGGACAAGGAGATCCAAAAAAGGAGCAACCAACCAAACACTTATGATCACCCCAATAGAATGGTCGATTCCTCAGTCCAAAGATACTATAAGTAAAAACCATATTCCAAACCTAATCATCATAGGGTTAATGCCCTTGGAGATGAGGGAGAGGAAGAAGATTTTCTTAAGATTGCTGACTATTGTTTTTCTGTGGATATTTCAGGTGTAATATTTGTTATGCAGGATCTTGGAGAGAAAGCAAGATGGCCAAGAAAGGGAGAAAAATTCACCGCTTGGAAAGACAAGTCCAAATGGTGTGCATACCGTGAAAAATTTGGTCACATCATAGAGGATTGAATAGCTCTCAAGAAGGAGATCAAATACCTCCTAGGAAAAGGATACCTCAAAGAAATCCTTCGAAAAATAAATGAGAGATCCAAAGAAAAAGATTAGGATCCTCAGAAGATCCTCGATAGACGAGGATCCCCCTTACTGACGCCAACGTAATCAATGTGATCTATGGAGGATCAGACATTTGTGGTACCTCTTATTCGGCAACAAAGAGGCACGCCAAGGTATCCAAAACGGAGAAGGAAAAAGGACCACAAAAGAACACGTCAATAACAAACGATAAGGAGATTACCTTCGACAACGCAGATAAACCAGACATCCAGGACCCTCACCATGACGGATTGGTGATCACTCTCTACATCACCAACCATTTCGTTAGAAGGATCCTCGTCGATGGGGGGTCCTCAGTCAATATCATACTCCTGGACGAGTTAAAAATAATGAACATCCCAGAGTCTGAAATAGTTGCAAGATCCTCAGTTCTGATCGGATTCGGCGGCGAAACCAAACACACCGTCGGTGAGATAAAGCTACCTATCTACATGGAGGGGGTAAACTCGACACAACGTTTTTGTGTAATTGATACATTATCCTATTATAATGTTATACTAGGTAGACCATAGATCCACAAAATGAAGGCCGTTCCATTGACATACAATCAATACGTAAAGATGCCCACTCCATGGGGTACAGTGAAGATCGTAGGAGACCAACAAGAATCCAAATAATGCTACAAAACTTTGATGAAAGCCTCGACGATACCACGACAAGCATAACAATAAAAGTAGGGGCACACTACGTATTGGAAACATGAGAAAAATATATAAAAGAAGTGCCCATGAACCTTGAGGATCCTGAAGCCAAAGTTCTCGTAGGATCCTTAATGCCTGTTCAAATCGAACATGATCTTATAAAGTTCCTCAAAGCTAGAAGCAAGACGATTGCATGGAAGCACGAGGACATGACAGATATAGACAAAGTATAATAACCATTAAACTTAACATTGATCCATCTTTCATACCAATACATCAAAAGAGAAGGAAATATGCACTAGAAAGAAACCATGTTATACAAGAAGAAGTAGAAAAACTTCTCAAAAATGGGATGATAAAGGAGGTGTAATTCCCAAGATGGCAAGCTAATGTGGTCATGGTACAAAAGAAGAACGGTAAGTGGAGAGTGTTTATAGATTACACAGATCTTAACAAGGCTTTTAGCAATGATCCTTTCCCTATACCACACATAAACTCCATGATAGAAGCAACAACGGGCCATGAATTATTAGCATTCATGGATGCATAAGCGGGATTCCAACATATCCAGACGGAATCATCTGACCAAGAGGACACCATGTTTATAAATCCAACAAGTGTCTATTGTTATAATTCCATGCCATTTGGTCTTACAAATGCAGGTGAAACATACCAAAGGCTAGTTAACAAGATCTTCAAAGAGACACTGGGGGACACCATGGAAGTCTACATCGATTACATGGTGGTCAAGTCCAAGAAGGCTAAGAATCACCTCAAGGATCTCCAAGAATCCTTCGACATCCTGAACGAATATAACATGAAGCTAAACCCCTCCAAGTGCCACTTTGGGATGAGATCCGGTAAGTTCCTTGGATACATGGTGACCAAAAGAGGAATTGAAGCAAGCCCGGAGCAAATCAAGGCCATACTCAATCTAAGATCACCATCCTCGACAAAAGATATTCAAAGACTAACAGGAACAGTGGCAGCCCTAAAGAGGTTCATCTCAAGATCCTCAGAAAGATGCAAGCCTTTCTACGACTTATTGAAAAAGAACAAAAGATTTGAGTGGACCCAGGAACATGAAGATGCTTTCCAGAAACTTAAAACATATTTAAGTTCACCATCCCTATTGGTAAAACCGTTAGATGAGGAACCACTTCTTCTCTATCTCTCAATATCCTCAAACG